ATGATATCATACGTTTATCGGATGAATTTGATATTCTTGTCTTGGCTAGATGGTTTGATTTATTGTTTGGATGGCATTAATACTAGTTTGGTGCCCCGTGTGATGCCTGGGTTGTTTATTGAATTTTAAGATAAACTTTTTATCTATGTACCAAGTTTTAAAATATATCATTGATACAAAATTAGTTAGGAATTGATATGCTTTTGTGACAATTTAAGTTATGGAGTAGCTGACTAATAATAATATTGGTGAAAATGTTTGATTTAAACAATTATTAAAAAAATAGCAAAGTAAACTTGAAATATTAGAAATTTCTAAAAATTAGCCAAAAATAAAATAAACAAAAAATTCCTAACTCCATTAGGTTGACCGGAACCCGAAACTTTGGGCTAGTGTTGAACATTTCTTGCCCGTGACTTGAAGTGACTCGACCCAAAATGACCCATGACCTGAAATGACTCGACCCGAAATGACCCATGACCCAACCCGATTGACAGGTCTACATACAATAATAAAATCATATTAGATTGTGAAGTATTTTATTTCAATCGATTATAATATATTATAAATGAATGTTGTACGTTTTGAACTAATTTTTTCGATCCAAAAAAAATTATGATATAAAAATAAATATGATTAAATGTTTAATTGTTGTCTACGTGGCGCGACATTTGATGAAAAGTTGAAAAACCAAGTGTCAGTGTCTCGTGGTCTGGCTAAACTTATAATTTACTAAATTTAAACCCGTGCGATGCACGGGTTTTATTCATAGTCAAACTTAATATTTAATATTTAATCAAAATTAACAAAATGTTAATACATAATATTACTATTTTTTTTAATCTTATACAATTAAGGTTCACACATATACAAATAAATTTTAAATCTTTCAGAGCAATTATGATCACTGTTCATCGCATTCAAGAATTTCATGGTGTTCAAATTCTAAAATATGCTTCATTGCCTGCAAAAGGTTTACGTTTATCTTGTGGAACATTAGATGAGTTTAAATAGGATTGAAAAACTACTGGATTTAAAGTGGTGATAAAATTTATTAAATATGATAAATTTTAGTAACGTAGAACTTAATCTTTTAGCCGAATAAATGATACATGATGAACATTTTTTTTTATTTGCTGGAAAAAAAGAAAGGATATATTTTTAGTTTTAATGATTCGTATCTAATTCAAAACTGATATTTCTTATAATTGAAGGTGATTTCATTTTTTTTTAATTGGTAATTTTTTAAAATATATTTTATTATAATCACCTCTCATAGTTCATTATTTTTTTACGTAAATATCATTTTTTAAGTTTAATAGTATTTTTGTATATATACGAAATAAAATAAATTGTTTCTTTTGTTTAGGTAAAATTTTCAATTTAAAAGATAATGCTTTCAATTTTAAAGATAATATTTTATTTTTATAATAAATTTAAACCTTTAATTTTAATCCTACGTAACGTTTTAAAATAATAATCCTATGTGGCATAATCTTATACGTACGCTCCAAAAATACTAATCCTACATGGCGCTCTAATAATTTTAAAAAATTAAAATCCTATGTGGCTCTCTAAAATCTTGGGGAAAAACTCCCCTATATATATACTAGTTTATGCCCTTGCCGATGCCCGGATTGTTGATAAAATTTTAGGATAAACTTTTTGGCTTGAATATTTATTAATACGGTAATGTAATCCCTTTTGATAATGCAGGATATTTAGACAAACGATATCCTATCGCTTATTTATAGAATAGTATATTTTTTGTAATTTTGTTTGTATATAGATATCTATGTTATTATTGACTTGAAATTATTGTTATTGAACTTAAATTATTTTTATTGAACTGAAAGTATTTTTACCAAACTAAATTTTTTACTGGTTAAAACTTATTTTTGTTGATTCTCTATTATTTTTTTTACTAAATTAAATATATTATAAATGGATCTTATTTTAACGAACTTTTTGAAACGAATTTTATAATGGAAATAAAACTGAGTTATAGGATATTTATTAAAAGTTATGATTAATTTTGTATATACGAAATATTAGAAGTATAGTAATAGTAAAACTATATACAACATTTTTATCTTAAAAAATCTATCCAAAAATCACTTACTTAGCATCATATGTGTCACAATAATACCTATTTGTCGCCTATGTGGCGCAACACTTGGCGAAAAATTAGAATGCCAAGTGTCCCTGTCTTGTGGCCTAGCTGCGAGACTGACTTTATTTATTAGTGAACTAATATGATATAGATTTGTACCTGTGAAATATTGGTATTTTATCGAAAATAAAACTCTAAACTAACAATTTTATCCTATAAATCTATCCAAATTTTATTGAAATTAAAACTGTAAACTAACTTTTTTATCCCACAAAATTTATCCAAGTTTTTATCCTAAAAAAAAATATTTATTCATAAAAAATATATCCAAATAAATCCTACGTATCATACTAATATTTAATTGTTGCTTACGTGGCACAACACTTGGCAAAAAATTAAAACGCCAAGTGTCATTGTCTCGTGGACTAGCTAAAAGTTTAGCTTTACATATTAGTTATATAATATGATATGACATGATTATGTGATATGATATGATGATTCGTGGAATGATATACTTTATACTCTTTTGTATAGACTAAGGGGGCGTTTAGTTTAGTAATTTTAGTTGTAGGAGACGGATTCAATTAAGTGTTTTCATTTCTAATTGTTTGGTATGGGTTAAAAGTAACAAATACCGTTTCGGAGGGTAAATCCCCTAATTTGTTACCCTTGACAAACCGGTGAAAACAAAATACGTTTCCTTACTCAATCACAATCCACTCAAATTGAATCCATTCCACTAGGATACCAAACATATAGTAAAGGTAACGTTTATCATTACTTTTTCCCTACTTATTTGAATCCTTTCCATTTCATTTAAAATGTTTATACCAAACACCCCCTAAATGATGTAATTTGTTTGATGGTATGATTAATTGGCTAAACGACATGGTTAATTGTTTGAATGATAACAGTAATTGCATAGGCTTTATGATATTTTAAATATTTTATTCTTTTTATATTCTTGTCTTGGTCGCATGATATCATTCATGTCTGGTAAATATGATATGATATGATATGATATGATAAACTATCAATAGCTGAATGACATGGCTAATTGTCAATATAAGTTGGGTATCATATAATAACTAATATATAAAGCTAAACTTTTAGCCAGGCCACGAAACAATGACACTTGGCGTTCCAACTTTTTGCCAAGTGTCGCGCCATGTTGGCAACATATAAAGATGGGTGTTGTTAAACATCGCTACCAAATTACAACCTGGCGCTCGCATTTTTTTCATGAAATTCCGTTTTTGCCCCTTGTATATAAATACTCACGACACTCAATCATGACAGTTACAACACTTTTTTACGCTCGTACTTCTCTCTCTAAAACTTTCTCTCTCTAAAAACTGAAAATCTCCTCAAAAATTAAAAAAACAAAAAAAAAATTTAAAATCTGGAAATTCAAAAAAAAAAAAAAACTGAAAAGAAAAAAGAAAAAAAAACCAGAACCACCACCAATCTAAGGAGGGTACACCAATGGCGGATTGGAGGCGAATAAGGCTCACCTACGGCGGTCGTGGCGGCGGCGTGGGAGGCGGCGAATAGGTTTGGCTCACAGTTCTTTTGATTTTCGTAAATACGTTTAAAAAAAATTCTGGAAAATTTGGGGCATCCGCCTGAAATTTCCGGATATCCCATGGAACATCCGGAAATTTCAGGCGGATCTGGTGAATTTCAGGCGGATGTCCCTAAAATCCGGTTTTTTCTTTCTTTTTTTTGTTTTTGTTTTTGTTATTGTTTTTGTTTTTGTTATTGTTTTTGTTTTTTGTTTTTTTGTTTTTGTTTTTGTTTTTGTTTTTGTATTTGTTTTTGATTTTTGTTGTTGTTTTTGTTTTTGTGTTTTGGTTTTCGTGGTGATTTTTTTTTCCTCATGATTAATGTTGTTTAATTTAATTTTTTTTTGTTTTGATTAATATTTTTTAATTAATCGATTAAAAATATTCCAAATTTATTGGTTTTTTTTGTGATTAATGTTATTTTTTTCGTGGTTAACAATTTTTTGTTTTTGTGATTATTCCGATTTTTTTTATTTTTTTCTCATGATTAATGGTTTTTTTTATTTTTTTGTGCTTAATATGTTTTTTGTTTCGAGATTAATATTCATTAAATAACCAATTAAAATTATTCCGAATTTTTTTTCTTTTCTCATGATTAATTTTATGTTTTTTTTTTCGTGCTTAACATATTTTTTTCGTCATTAATATTGTTTAAATAACCGATTAAAATTATTCCGAATGATGTTTTTTTTTTCTCATGATTAATGTTATGTTATTTTTTTTTCGAGCTGAACATATTTTTTTTTTCGTGATCAATATTCTTTAAATAACCAATTAAAATTATTATTATTAGTAATGTTATTAGTTTTAGGATTGTTATTATTAGCAGCAATATTACTATTATTATAATTATTGTTGTTATTATTATTATCGTTGTTGAGAATATTCTTATTATTGTTGTTATTAGTATTATTACCGTTATTATTTTTGTTGTTATTAATATTGTTATTTGTGTAATATTGTTTATTTTTTTGAATTTGAATATTAGTTGTTCAACTTTAATATCATAGTTATATTTGTAATTATTACTGATATTAGATTTTGTATTTATTTAATGTAGATTGAGGGTTCGGGTCCTCGTCATGCAGTATCAAGACGTTTGAATGCGTCTATTAGGAGGGAGTCGGGTCGTTCGGTAAATACGGGGGCACCGTATCATCATGAGCAGCAATATGGGTCTGCTGGTACTTGGTCGGGGGAGCATCAATCGCAAGGGAGCCCCCCCATGTACTCGTCAGGCCAAGTGCCGACATCTGACGAGGAGGACGATGAGTGGGAAAGTCAGGCTGATCGAGATGAAGAGTACGACCCAATTGATTATCATGCATAGGAGTCAGCAAGGGAGATTTGTGAGTAGCAGTCAAGTGAGTCAGCCTTCCACCAGCTCAGCAGAGACATGGGTAGTGCAGCAGCCGATGCCAGGTGGTCCTGAGGATGGTACTGTTATCCCTAGTTTTGGTGGTCACGTGGCTGCATATATTTAGGGCGGGCAGGAGCGCAATGTTTTGCGCTGTTTGAGCAGGACACAGTTGTGTTTTGCATTGGTTACCTGGAGAGGTCGTCTTGCACAGGAGCATCTGGAGCTGATTGACGGTAGTGGTCTGTCTCACTTACCAGGGATCATGTTTAGGCGTTTTGACTGGCCGTTGATTTCTGCGTTTGTTAAGAGATGGCAGCCAGATACGAACACCTTTCATATGCCATTTAGGGAGATCACAATCATGATGCACAATGTGTACCATATTCTTGGGCTTCGTGTTGATGGTTCCATGGTTTCCACTACTCCTAGCACGGACGTCATACGAGACGCGTGCCAAGTTACCCTGGACATGACTACGGAAGAGTTGAACGAGAAGTGTGGTACGAAGACCATTTGGCAGGGTAGTGGGGAGTTGACCGAGAGGATTATGGACTCGACCTTGGAAGAGCAGAGGCCCTTTAGTGTCCATTATAGTGCCTACATGTGGTTAGTACTGGGCGGATGTCTGTTTTTGGACAATAGTGGTAACTGCACTCATCATTCCTTCCTCAACGAGCTTGTTATTGAGGAGCTGCAAAGTAGTGACTACTCTTGGGGTTCAGCTACTCTGGCATATCTGTATCGCCAGTTGGGTACGGCTTCAAGAAAAGATGCTGATTCAATCGCTGGTTGTCTCACGCTTCTGCAGGCGTGGATCTACGAGTACTTTCCGTGCTTTCGGCCTCAGCAGGGAACCTTGACGAGGGAGCTTAGTATTCCTCGTGCGTGTGCTTGGGATGTGGGATCGGGATGCCCGAACAAGAGCATGGAGCGCCTCCTCGCTGTTTGTGCTCAATTGGATCAGCTGACCGACAATGAGGTTAACTGACTACCGTACGGAGTTGATCCCGCTCGACGCGTGCCAGTCACTTTATTCATTGGCTGCATCCAGTATCGGAGCAACATTGAGCCATACATGCCTGATCGAGTGGTCCGATAGCTTGGATTCGTGCAGGAGATTCTGTGGACCATTATCAGGCCTGAGAAGGCCAAGAGACCGACGAACCTAAAGATGTATCAGGTTGACTTTCCGACCGAGATAACATCTGTGATGTGGACTCGGTTTGTCCCTGGCTCGTCTTTCAGTATTGTTTTAGGTGCCCTCACCAGACTCGGTGGTGGAGGTGCTACGGTCGCTCTTGGTTACATGCAGTGGCTGTACCGATTTTCTCATCCTCGTCTTTCTCCTGGTGGGTCATCAGATGGGAGTAGCAGACTTCCCGAGAGGACTAACACGGACTATGTAAGTAGTTGTCTCTTATTGTACTGTAAATACCACTTAAACAAATTGTAATTTCTGTAACTAATATGTTGTTCTGTTACTTGTAGTGGATGGGTCGGTCCTTGGAGATTCACCGGAGATCACTGGATGAGTATCCCAGCATGACGCGTGAAACGAGGGCAATGATTAAGCAGCTGATAGCTGACTGGAAGGCGATGATAGGGTTGTGAAGTACTTGTCTTTTAGTTTTATATTAGCAAACAATGATTGTTTATTGATTATTATTATTTTTATTATTATGATTATTATGATTATGATTATGATTATGATTATGATTATGATTATCATTATTATATTTATGATTATTGTTGTTGTTGTCATTATTGTTATTATTATTAGTTTATGTTAATGAGTTAATAACAAAAAAATTATTATTGTTTTTGTGTTAAAGAGTTTATGTTTATGTTCATGTTAATGAGTTAATAACAAAAATGATTTACATATTATCTACAAGTGTTCACCATAAATGAATGTACATAAATGAGTTTGCTATCTAATTAACGCATCCCACATATTCCGTCTAACTGCATAACGCTCATCCCAACCGTCAACACTTGGCTCGTGGTGCTCGGTCCACCAACCTGCAATCGGGGGAAGTGGTGAATCTAGTGCAAGATCAATACGGATAAAATGTGAACCCCCAACTGTAGCAATCACAAACTCTCGGGCAGGTGCGGTGACCGTCCTTCGTGCCTACAACGTCAAGATCGTGAGGCATAGGTAGTAGCAGGTTGGTACTTGGCCTACACCAAGAATAATAACCATTGCGTTGAACCAAGTAGCAATAGGAAATAAATCTTGAATTGCAACCATCCAATGACGGGAATCAACCGCCCCACCGTCCCATCGAATACGCTCCACATTCATCCCAAGCCTTCCAAGCCCGTAAATTCTTTTGTACAGGACTGGATAACCGAGGACCTCGTTAGCTATTGTTTCTTGAGCGTCATACCATTTCCCTTGGTTATCGAAGAAGAAGTCGGCCACACAACGAAAGCCGCAATTATTATCGCCAATGACATCCTTCCATCCTGTGATGTAAGGCAATATCGGTCCTGGAAGCAAGTGTCGATACCGGCTTTGGCTGATGTCACATGGATCTTCTGCACGAAATTATTGTTCAGCTATTAGTACAGTAAATGATGAAATACGTGAAAATCAAAATAGCCAATCTTACCTGTTTGCTGCGGACCACGTTGAGTGTTTCGACGGTTGACATGTTCGAAATAACAAGGATCACGTCTTGCATCATTGTTCCTTCGTCGACCACGAACATTGTGGTTTACAGCAGGATCTCCAAGGTTTGAATGATCCGGATGCAGCTCCTCCTCAATGATGCGAGATACATTTCGGAGAACGGCAGGATCACTACCGATTACCTCATCCACCAGAGAACGAAAATGTGTGGCGTCCTCGGTCGAGTCATTACCGAACACCGGTACATCATCACCATCACCGATAACCAAGGTCTTCCAGAACGGGTGAATTTGCCTGGTATTCAAGCCTGTCTCGGCAGCTAGAGAATCATGAATCTGGCAAGCACACGGCAAACCGTGGGTCACACGCATTGCACATCCACATCGCTCAAACACCTTATAACTCGGCTCCCTCATCTTTTTCGTCACGTCGTCGAGAACCTTCAAACAATGTTGAGACACCTTGCCGTTAATACGTGACAGTGGCAATTGTCGGTACTTCTGACCAATCTTTGACCTAGACGTCTACAAACCATTACGAATGGCGATGATCTAGTTACCAATGTTGCAATGAACTCGGGCCCATACGGTATCCAAAGAACCTGAACATTACAAAGAAAACCATCAAGAGTGACAATAAAAATAACAATATCAATAACAATCATAACAACAACAACAACAATAATCATAATAATAATAATAATAATAATAATAATAATAATAATAATAATAATAATAATAATAATAATCATAATCATAATAATAATAATAATAATAATAATAATAATAATAATAATAATAATAATAATAATAATAATCATAACAAAAATAATAATAATAATCAATAACTACAACAAAGTCCAAACAACGAACCTGTCGAAGATTCAAACCACATCTTCACGGCCGAATGTTGGCTCTCAACTCTGCAAGTGCTGGTGTTGCCAAAATGCAGAACTTGGTTTGTCCAAAATGTCACAAACTTGGTTTTATGACAAAGCCATGTTCTCTCTACATATTGTATCACCGCTGGATAACTTGCCCACCAATCTTTCATTGTTTGTACAGCAGCATTATAATCCTCCTCCGTTGCAGCATCCATGATACGTTTCCATTTCCCGTTTTTGAAACTCGCACCGATCTTCTTGTTTTTGAACATATCAGTGACCCGAGCTTCCACATCTTTGTTAATGTGCCATCGACAAAGTAAGTGCGGGATCCCTAGAAACACTTCTCTCAATGCCGCACATAACCCAAGCTCACGGTCTGTCAAAAAAATCGACGGTTCCCTATCATACCCAATCAACTCTCTCAGTCTTTGCAAAACCCATCGATAGCTTGTCGTTCACTCGTTGCGCATGAACACGTAACCGACGAGGAAATTTTGATTTGTCGGTGTCACACCTATTATCTCAAAGAACGGCATCCCGTATCGGTTGGTCTTGTAAGGGGAATCCATACCGATCACATATGGGTACGTCCGTAGTATGTCTACCGTGACTGGGTGCACCATAAAGGCGTGCTGTAAAACGCCTAGATCATCAGACATGACCCAGTGAAGATACTGACTCTGTCTCACCAAATGTAGAAATTGCTGAACTACTCCTCTCTCATCAGACATCTCCGTTCTCAAGTCATTCCGGCAATTGTAGATGTGTCTGATGTTTGGATGATCATCAGGAAATTGCTCGGCAAAAGTCGCCATGATATTACGCGGTGAAACCTTAGACTTTGTCATGTCACGCACAACCTTCTTCGCATCCGGGCTCAACCCACTAATTTTACAATGCCCCTCCTGATACACAATCATTGGATGATTGTGGGTCCCAGTTGCATCATTTTTTGCCCGGATCCTCCAACTATCGGTGATGAACTCGTAATATATCTTGATGTAGAAAGGACAATCATTGGTTTTGGTTTTAGAGTCCTTCCGAATTGCGTTCTCAAGATCTCTCGGCTTGCTCCTACGTCCCGATCACATCTCAAATATCGATACGGCCGACCATCCCTGGTTTTGTTGTAAGACAATTTGACCAAAATAAATCCCAGATTTATGGCAACAACATCCGCCCATTGAACTGCATCATCAAACGTTGGAAAAAACATATCTGTGACAAAATTCGCACTGTAATTCACACCGTCACCGCCTTCTTCAAACTCCGAATCCTTTAAAAATACAAAAAAACACAAAAATCACGCCAATATTAGTATTTTACTTATAATAATAATAACACCAATATTTTTTAAAAAACAATAAGGAAAATTTGTCAAAAAAAACCTTTTAAATGCACCATTTTGCGAAAAAAAACCTTTTAAAAGCTTTTTTGTAAAAGAAAACCCGAAGTTCAATTTTTTTGCGAAAAGAAACCCATTTCCTTAATTAGACTCTAATTAACTTAATTAGACTCTAATTTCTTCTCATTTCATCTAATTAACCCCTAACCCACCAAATTAGAATTAATTAATATATAAACAACCTTCTTCCTCCCTTTCCCCCTCCCATGGCAGCCTTCCCCTTCTTCCTCCCTTTCCCCCCTCCCATGGCGCCACCCCTTCTTTCTCCCTTTCCCCCTCCCATGGCAGCCTTCCTCTTCTTCCTCCCTTTCCCCCTCCCATGGCGCCACCCCTTCTTCCTCCCTTTCCCCCTCCCATGGCAGCCTTCCCCTTCTTCCTCCCTTTCCCCCTTCCCTAAACCCTAACCCCGACCATCCACCTTCTCCCTTACCACAACGCGGCGGCGACTGCGAGAAAGAGGAGAGAGAGTGAGTCAACGAGAGAAAAGGAAGAGGGAGAAGAAGCGTGCCACCTGACCGAGGTGGGTCGCTGAGAGTTGGGGTTCAAGGAGGTGGCTCGGTTCGGGGGAGGGGACTGCTGCCATGGGGGGGGGGAAGGGAGGGAGTGGCTGGTGGGGTGGTGGTGTTTGGTTTTTTTTTTTTAATTTATAAGTTAAATTAATTAATAAATGGTTAAGTGAGATTTAGATGATAATTAGAAGAAATTAGAGCTTAATTAAGTGAATTAGAGGCATTAGGTTGTCTTTAACAAAAAAAAAAGGAAATGGGTTACTTTTCGCAAAAAAATTGAACTTCGGGTTTTCTTTTATAAAAAAGCTTTTAAAAGGTTTTTTTTCGCAAAATGGTGCATTTAAAAGGTTTTTTTTTGACAAATTTAATAATAATAATAATAATAATAATAATAATAATATTATAACATTAACTAATATTAACTAACATCAACTAACACTAGCATTAACTAATATCACAATATTAACTAATATAAACTAACACTAACATTGACTAATATTAACTCATTAACATAAACTAATACTTACAAAAATAACTAATAATAATAATAACAATAACAATAATAACAATATTAATAACAATTACATAAACTAATACTAACAAAAATAACTAATAATAACAACAACAACAATAACAACAACAACAACAACAACAACAACAACAACTACAACAACAACTACAACAACAATAATAATCATAATAATAATAATAATAATAATAATAATAATAATAATAGCAAAAATAATAATAATAATCATAATAATCAAAACAAAAATAATCATAATAATCATAATAATAAAAATAATAATATTAATCAATAACATACAATAAAAAAAAAATTTGAAAATGGCACATCTGCCCAAAATATTCGGAAGTTCCATGGAGGATCCGCCTAAGATTTCCGGATCCTCCATGGAAGATCCGGAAATTTCAGGCGGATGTATAAAAAAAAAATTCTATGACTTACAGATTCTTCCGAAGATGCCTCCGGCGTACGATCGTCGTCGTCGTTCATCGTCCAAAACCCGTCGCTAAACCTTGATAATTTTTTTTTTAAATTTAATTTTTTTGGTGGTGGGCTCGGGATTTTTTAAATGTTAGTGGTGGGTCAAAGTGCTCGGGAATAATATTAAACTGCTCGATATACTATGTGACAAAGTGGTGGAGCCTTATATAGGTCAAATTAACACAAGGGCAAAACGGTAATTTCATATTTAAATTGGAGCGTCACCATATAAATTGGAAGCGTCGAATAGCAGTTCACTATAAAGATTGGTTAAGAATTTATTTTCAATATAATTTGGATAGAATTTTAGGATAAAATTGTTAGTTAGAGTTTTATTTTTGATAAAATACCAATATTTCATAAATTACGTAGTATAATTTTATTCAAAAAAATTATTAGATCATAATTCCTCTGTTCTTTTTTACTTGACATATTTATTTTATCACGCTTGTCAATGCAAAACTTTAACGATCAATAATTTTAATTCTCCATAAGTAAAAATTATAAAAATTATATATTATGATAGTACTTATTAAGACGAATTAAAAAAGATCACACATAAATATATTTTTCCTTATATATTATTCACAAAAGACGGTCAAATGAGTGGTGTTGAATAGTGTAAAAGTCAAAGCGGATCAAGTAAAAAAAATGAAGAAACTTAATAATTATCATATTAATTTATTTTTTACATCATATTTTTTTTTTTGGAACAATGGAAGTAGTTCAAAACGTACAACATCCATTTATAATATATTCTCATCGGTTGAAATAAAATGCTTCACAATCTAATATGATTTATTTACTATATGTAGACCTTTTAATCGAGTCGAATCAAGGGTTATTCCGGGTTAGGTCACTACAGGTCACGGGTCAAGAAATGTTCAACCCTAGGCCAAAGTTTCAGATTCGGGTCAACCCAACAGGATTAGAACAATTATTTATTTTATTTATTTTTGGCTAATTTTTAGAAATTTCAAATATTTCAAGCTTACTTTGCTATTTCTTTATAAATATGTAATCGAACATTTTCATTAATATTATTATTAGTCATTACATGGCTGCTACATAATCTAAATCGTCATAAAAGCGCATCAACCCTAACTAATTTTGTATCAATGATATATTTTAAAATTTGGCATATAGATAAAAAGTTTTTCTTAAAATTCAGTAAATAACACGGGCATCGCACGGGGCACAAAACTAGTGGTCAATAATCTGGATTATATTTTTTGATGCAATTTATTAATATTCTTCTGTTTATTAATTGTATATGATGATATATCATTAACGCTTTGAATGATATGATATGATAATTTATCATTCATTGATTGGATGGTATTAAAAAAGTATACAGATGATATCATTATTTATTTGGATAATATTATTCACTGTCTGGATTATATTATTTACAAATTTTTACCTACACCCCTATGTAGGCAGCGCTGCCTGCACCCCCTCAGCTCCTCTCCATCACGATGACGTCATTTTATTATTATTCCGTTTCAAGTCATCTTTAATCTGTTCATTTTTGTATTAGTAAATGTTCAATTTCGTATCCATAAATGTTCAATAGTGTTGATACATAGTGCAATATTCAAATTAATTCTTTTTTGTATTTGTGATTTTAAAATGTGTTTTTACAATTATATTTTATTATTTAGTTAATTTACACAAGATTTTGCTTGAATTTTTTAATATAAAATAATATTGATTCAACTACAATAATAACATTATTCTAAATTATTTTTTATAATTGTTTCATTAGCGTAAAAAGGAACATGCTTCTCAACTTTTTTTAAATCAAATACATCTAATAATATAGAATTATCCTAATAATATAAAATTATCCTTCTTGTTGCACCCCTAATCCAATGTATCAAGCATTTAATATAGTAACAATCAAAACACTATACACATTGTTTTTTTAATTTAATACATTTAATATAAATAAAAGTTATATAGAATAATCATCGTCCTTGTTATACAATAATTGTTCCCCTTCCACTCTTGTGGTGTTGCGTGTTTTCTTGGATACCTATCCTTTTCTCAAGATATGTGTCATCGTCTTCAACTTCTTTTTTTAAATTTATTTCATTGTGCTGTGTAATAAGATATCAAAATATTTTAAAATAAAGGGAAATTCTCAACGATAACCCCCAACTTCTGCTACGCACCAATGGTGACCTCCCATTTTTTTTATTATACAAAATTACCTTAGTTAAAAATTTCATCTCACTCATATCCTTATTTCATTAAATATTAACTATGGTTAGAATTATATTTTGAAAAAAAGAAAAATTAAAAAAAATTAACCCCAACCACCAAAAACCAGCCACCACCTGCCCAGCCACCATCTCCCTTCCGGCGACACTACCCCAGGTTCCATCGATTGCCGGCGACGCTACCCAGACACCCCGAACGCCGGTGACACTGCGCCAACTCCACCTCAACCACCGCCAAGCCAAATTCCCAAATCCCCGCCCACAACCCTATTTCCCTCTCGTCCTTCTCATCGTCACCACCACTAGGTTGCTGAACTCAGAACCCTGACCACCGAACCCAAGCACGACCACCCCCAAACCACTGATCTTTTTCTCTTTCTTCTCCGCCATCTCCTCTACCCTCTCTCTTTATCTTCCGCCATCTTCTGCCTAGAATCGAAACCTCAAACTTAAACCCACCATCCCTCCTCGACCAAAACCAACCCCACGGCGAAGGGACGAGGATTGAAGGTCAATGAAGGAATGGTTAGAGGAGAGAGATTTGTGAGGTTAGGGTTTAGGTCTAAGCGGTGGAAAGGGTGGAGGCGATGGTTCGGCGGTTTAGGTGGGAGGTCGGCGTTTCAAATGAGGGGGTTTGGTGGCTTTGGTGAGAGTGGAGGTGGTGCTGACTACATCTGATAGGGATGATGGTGAAGGTGGTGGTTGGGTTGGTGGTTTTAATTTTTAGGTTTTTTTTTTTTTAAATCGATAAAACTCATTAATGTCATATGTGAGATAAATTTCTTAATTAGGGTCATTTTGTATAATAATAAAAAGGAAGGTCACCATTGGTGCGTAGCAGAAGTTGGGGGTCACCGTTGAGAATTTCCCTAAAATAAAATATTAATAACAATCAAAACAAACTATAAACAAAACAGGATGATTAAATAAACATTTACATATACAAAAATGAACACATTACCAGAAAATGAACATAGTGCAATATGATAATGAACAAGTATTAATATCTAAATGAACGTCTTTCAATATAAAAATGACCAATTACTAAAAGTCAAGTGAACATCTTTCACTACAAGAATGAATAAATATTATAATTTAATTGAGCATTTTTCAATATGATAAAAAACAAGTATTTAAATTGAAACAAATATATTTTAATGTGAGAATGAACAAGTATAAAACTAAATGAACTTGTTTAAATATAAGAATAAATATTGTATTAGATTACAAATGAACATCTTTCAATATGAGAATGAACATATAATGTAAAAAGAGTGAACATGTATCAAGTTTCTTTATACATACATTAATATGAAAATGATTAAATGAATAGGTATTCCATATATATACACACACACACAAACTCATATCGAATCTGCCAAAAAAAAAAAAAGGATTAAAGATGCTTATAGAAATGAACCTTTTACAAAATTCTAATAATCATCTATTAATATGTGAATGATAATATATAAGTATCATAAATGAACGTAACGTATATTTAAACGAGAATGAACATCTATCAAAATGAGAATGATCATTTTATCAAAAAGAAAAATTAAATTCTTAGTAATCCTACAAAATAACTCAATTAATCCAAATAATTACAAAAACTGTACATAAATTTAAACTTTTTGATTCCATTAATTTTATAATTTAAGAGCACACCATAAATTAATTTCACACAAAACTAGAAAATTCCAAACTCTAACATAATCCAACCATAATTATATTACTTTCACAAAAAAAAAAAAAAAAAAAAACAATCACAAACTCTTACCAATATTTTTAAGATCTAGAGAAAAATTGAAGAAGACAAATATTTCCGGCGAGATGATTCCAACGACAAATGTGAGAAGATTTCAGCGACGTTAACAACAATGGAAAATTAAATTACAATCGGTTTGCAATTTTTTCGAAGTAGCACGAGAAATACATGGTTGTTTGAGGAGAGAGAACTTGAAGAATTTTGGTCTTTGAAAGTTTTATTTGGAAAATAAGAATTGTGGTATTTGGAGAGAGAAAATAAAGATGATGAAGGAAGTTTATGAAATGAGGATTTTTTAAAAAAAAGTCTAGTATGTATATTTATGGTAGGGGTGTAGGTAGTACTACTATATATTATTAGGTCGTGAAGCCCGTGAGCCACAACAATAAACATATCTTACTCTAGAAATCCCTCCATTTTCTCTCTTTAAATAATCCCTCTAGTTTCTCTCTCTAAAACCCTCTCCATTTTCTCTCTCTACTACAAACATGGTACCAAAGAAAGCTAATAAATTTATTTATTTGCTTTGGTTTCCATTTAACAAATAACAATAGATAAAATTTAAATTTGTTGTAAAAAAAAATTTAAATTTATGTCCAAGTTCATATAAATTTTTGAACTAGCATTGTAACATACAAAGTAATAGCATGTAACCTAACATATAGCATGTAACCTGAGTATTTGAACTTTGGAAATGGGATTTACAGTCTCTCATCACACAATCATGCATATTTTTTCAACTTCTTTATAAACTCATTATAAGTATTTAACTAGTGGGTGTGTCAGACGTTGCATTGGGTTGCTACTTTGAACATAATGTTAGAAAAAAAAAAGAATTAAAGAGAAAATTTCTCTATTGTTTTGGAATTGTCGAGACTATTCCTCTTTATTCATTTTTTCCAGGCTATTTTTGCTTAAATATATTTATTTATGTGTACATTAAAAATGTCAATTATTATTGGCTAAAATAATAAGAAATGTGATCTTATATCCATGAAATTTAGGGTTCGAAACATGTGGATGTTTTAATTTTTTCTCATAAAAAATGACATGGAATAATTGTTGCAATGTTAGTACTTAGTAGTGATGTGGCACAATGCTAGTTAAATGACGTGGCACAATACTATTGCAAATAATCTAAGTGGCACATAAACGTTTTTAAGAACGTTTTTTAATATAAAAAAATATACATTTTTTGGTTGAAATTATTTTGGTATACTATAAACGTATAAATAGTACTTACCTCTAAAATAATAATATGTAATTATAATATTTGTACAAAAGACCAAAAGAAATACAAATATAGCATGTGCCATTTTTGTAACCTTTTTATACAAGTATTCTATACTTTTTGTCTTTTCGTTAATGTAAATGTATATTTAGATAGTTTTTTAGTCAGACAAGATGAACTACCCTATCAAATTGAAACCTCTAATAGGTCAATTTTGTCTATTTTATGGGGCGCGCGGAAGGGTAAGAGAAATTCTTACCCTCAAAGTGTCCTTAGTGGGATTGAACCCCTAGTCCCCTACCACTATATATAGATTAAACTTTCTTACCAAATATTTAATATATATGAAGTATATGATACAAAGTACATGATTTATAGATTAAATATATACATTGTATTTTAGGCCTCCAAAATAATTAAAATGACTCGGTAAGGTACATTCAAGATATCACATGCCTTACATGTCTCAATTTGTGCTACATGCATATTGTTTGTTATGGTGGCGTTGACAAATTGACATGTGTCATTTAACATTCAAACGTAACTTCCTTTACACAAAAATTTGCATTTTTAAATCGTTGTATAATCCTTTAGATAGAGACAAGTGTAAGTAACAAGTGGAATGCAACTCAATAATATATCGAGAACAAAGGTGTTTTGGAATATACATATACTCATGGGAATTTGCTAGCATTTAAGAGTTCAAATACTATTTTCTTTTGTCACAAGGCTAATATTCATGAAAGAACATTACATATATGTTGTACCTCGTTTGTTCAATGAAAATTTTCCCCCTTTTCATGTATAACCGTTTCATGAAATTCTTCCTACTTTTTATTAGTGAAGTATTATTACTCCAACTTGACCCACTTTTTTAGGAGCACTGTTTGTGGATACTGTTTCTTTAAATTTTCAGTTAAACTTTAAATGTGTACTCCTAGAAAAATATACAATTTTAAAAACTATTGTAATTTGTAACATAAATATAATCTACAAAAAAGCAACTCTTTTTTTTTTTGGGTAGAAGAAAAGTGACATACTTATGGAAGGGTCAAAGTTAAAAATGTGGGCTACGAGAATTACTTAGTATTGGAAGTTTAGCATAATCAAAAAAGAGTTTTAAATAGGCATCATCATCATTCTAATCCTCACAAATTGTCCTTTTTTTTTTTTTTTATCATCATCATTTTTATTACTTTTTCTTTTGAACAGTTCATCATTCTCATGCTCATATGCAGTATTAAAGTATGATATAGTAGTATATAAAATATAATTAAGAGTAAAAATAAAATAAAAATATAATTAAGACATTTAATGCACCAAAACAATTTCCATGCAAATGAATATTAAAAAAAAAAAAAGGCTAAAAGCCGTAACTAACATTCCATGATTTCCAGCAAATTGCCAGAGCATTATATCCCAAACTATAATTATTTGTGGGAAACTATTTTCCTTGTATATCTATGTGGGGTAAATGATGTTTTTACAAATGTAGAATTGTAGAGTAGTTATTTTAATTGCTATGCCAATGAGGGAATAATCCCAAAAATAAGGAATTTTTTATTTTTATTTTTTTATTTATTTTTTTTGCAAAGTCATGCCATTAAAATCTTCCATCATAGTCTGACTAATACTCTAGATAGAGGCGGCAAAAAATCGTGTCGTGTTGAGTTCGTATTTGGTCTAATGTTCATTTCTTGTTGTATACAAATTTTGTAAAAAAACTATGTGACATGTAGGAACTCTGATTGCATAATTTGACCAAATTATTAAAATGGGTCATGTTCAAGTTGATTTTGTGTCGTGCCAACATTGTGTTTCTCTTAGTAATTTAGTGTTCGTGCTGTGACGGTTTTGGTCGTGTCGTGTTAGAAATTGTCACCTCTATCTCTAGCTTAAAGGAGGATCTTCAACAACCTCTACTTTACTCGTATTAGATTACTTGACACCCTTGTTTACATGAATCCATTGCCCGATTTCCTTATCTATTAGCAATTTAGTAAATTCCGTTATATATGCTTCTCCGTACATCATGGCTTTGATTTAATGTACTTAGTCAACCCGCACAAACGTGCGCTTCATTAATTTGTAAAGCCAAGAATCCCGCTTCTTTGTCCATTTAAATCATCAATTTCCATTTCATACACCGCCGCATATTCTGGTCCCCAATGCTTCAATTATTATTTTAGCCCTAAAGCTCGTAAATGCCCCAAACTAGCAAAATTGGTTTAGAAAGAAACTTTGTAATTACGTAGTTCATATAATTCTATCTCTTTTCTTCATCAATCAACCTTTTTATAATTTATTTTATAGCAATAAGACACGTAATACGTAACGTTTACTATACGATTAATTTAAGAATGATTAACGAACTTACATCAATAACTGTTATTTACTCGATAATTTATCATACTCACTACATAGTAGAACTAATTTTTGGTCTTTGAGACAACAGGATGATTGTTGGTCTCACACCTTTTCGTTGTAATAATAAAATTGTAATAAGTGGTGGGTTTTACATGTCGGTGGAAATTTAGGAAAATATTTGGTACGTGTAGACTTTTACAAGAAGAAAAGTTGAAAGAAAATAGAAGTGGTAAGAAAAAAATAAATAAAAAGAAAACAATTGACATTTCTCTTGTGTAAAATTAATAAATACCCACATCTTCAAAATTTTAACCCAAATCTTAAATTACCAAAAATCCCATATTTTATTGCTTCAATACAGCATATATACACAACTCCATTAAAAATTTAAAAGCACATCCTTAGCTTTCCACCCCCTAAAAAAAGGAGAACCCACTTTTCATTTACTTTCAATTTTCATTTTTGCTCAATTTTTGTGATCAATCTTCAATTGAATTGAACTGGGTATGTTGTAAAATAAGCATTTTTTTGAAGTTTTTCTATGTTCAAGTTCAAATTTTGCATTCAAATATTTGGGTTTTATGGGTTTTGATTTGGGTCAGAATTTTTTGACTGAGTTGTGATTTTGTGGTAATGTTTAATGAATTTTTTAATTTCTTATGTTGATGATTTTGCATAAATTTGAACTTGAATTGTTGATTGATGGGTTAATTAATTTATGTTAATGCTTTTGAGGAATAATTTTTTTTTGACTCATGATTATCACTTGACTAATTAGTTGGTATACAGTGTGAAATGGAATGTATCTCGTGATCTCTGCTTCCCTATTTTTGGGGCGTTTTTATTATAAAGTTTCATGTATTACGTTGATATTTTTTGAATGTTACATTTATATTTTAATGTATTTAATAAGCTTCTAGGTTGTGTATAAAGTTTACATGAAAAAACTCATTTTGTGTGTGTTGAAGCTTGTGGTTTTGTGTGAGGTTTATTCAGTTTTTATCCTGTTGCTTGCAGAAATTAATTATTGGTGTGAGCATTGATATTGCTAGGGTGTTCCTCATTGCCTCATGGGACTGTTGTGACTGAAATTGTTGGCTGATTTCGAGTTTCGACGAGTGGCTTATATGTGTATATAAGCTGTGGGGTTTGGGTTGAATTGTTGAAGTGAGTCATATCCTGCATTTGATCTTGTTGGGTTGTAATGGGTTGTAATTGCTCGAGACTATCGACGTGTTGCTGGGAACCAGGGCATGATGGGAAGAAACCGGAACCTGAGACAGGTACTTGGTTAATTCTTAATGGTTTCAATTATATGTTGTGAGAAAAATACTCTCTTGAATCCAACATATATGTGGTTTTTGCTAGTTCTTTTTCATCCAAATTATAAGTCGTTCTATAATACCAATATTTTGTTAATAATCATTTGTTGATATCACTGCAGAAGCATGGCCATTTTATAATATCAATGAAATGCCACTTTACGATGCCAATGTAATTTTAATATCTATGAAAATTGCTAAAACGATTATAATCTTGGATCATAGGGACTATGAGGTAGTTATAGACTGGTATCGAATTGCAATAGGATGGCTGTTTCATATCATCTTATTTTTTCCTTTGTCTATCAGAGAATGAGCAGAAGGGCGAGCCTGATGATACACCTACATTTCGTGAGTTCAGCATTGAACAACTTAGGACGGCGACATCTGGCTTTGCAGTTGAGAATATAGTTTCAGAACATGGAGAGAAGGCTCCCAACATTGTGTACAAAGGGAAGCTAGAGAACCAAAAGCGGATTGCGGTAAAACGTTTCAACAGGTCTGCTTGGCCTGATGCTCGGCAGTTCTTGGTATGGAATATAGTTCTTCTAAATTTCCCTTGGCGATAGGTCCATTTATCTTATGTAGGTTCTAGTGTTTGTTATCTTTCGGTCCAAGCTTACCTTAGTTACAACTTGACTATATTCTGTTATCTGGTTTAGATTTTGCATTTGCTAGCCTAGTCCTCCCGTTTTCCATTTGCTAGCCTAGTCCTCCCGTTGTGATGTAAAAGGCTGAAAGTTATGAAGACAATGCACTCACTAGCAGTTGGTGTTTAACGGAATTGTAGCATTTATCCTTCTAGAATAAAGATAGCTGATTTTTACTCCATTGGCGAATGATTAATGTCTCCATAATTTGATCTTAACTTCATAAGGCGTAAAATGTTGTTTTTTTAGGTCTTGACTAGTGTTTTATATTTTGGGCTGGTGCCCGAATAATAAGGTTTGATGCTCACGTATAAATTGTCCTGCATGCTATTCTGTTAATGCACCTGAAGGTTTTTTGTATTTATTTATTTTAAATGTATCTTACTTAACTCCTTTCAAAATCTTAAATCTCTCTCATCTGTTTTTTCAACTCAGGAAGAAGCAAAAGCAGTTGGTCAGCTGCGAAACAACAGATTGGCTAATTTGCTTGGTTGTTGCCATGAAGGTGATGAGAGATTACTTGTTGCAGAATTCATGCCAAATGAAACACTAGCGAAGCATCTGTTCCATTGTGAGTTTTGTTTTACACATATATAGAGTTATACATATCCTCATTTTTGTTTATCTGGATGCAACCTCATGCCAAGCAATCTCAATCAATGACGAGAAGAAAAGCAACTAGCCAATCACTCAAAAAAAGCTGTTTGGTTTTCTTTGTATATTCTCCTATGTATTAGTCTGAAGTTACTGTTATCTATTTCTTTGATTTGTGAGATTTCTGCTGATCTGCTCAAATGCTCCATTTCCCTTTGAAATCTGGACTCATGTTACTTTCAGTCAGTAATACGGTTTTCCAGATTGTAGTGATTCTTTTCTTTGAATAGTATGGGATAAGTCTGCATATATCCAGATCTTAATGTTTCCACAGCAGGATACTTATTGGATTAAAATCGTTTTAGTGGTCTGTAAGACTAGTTCTCGGCGTTCATTTTTGTGTAATAGGTACTGTTTAGTGTTTGCTCTCCTAATATATGGTTATTGACATAGGGGATGCACATCCTATGAAATGGGCAATGCGGTTGCGAGTGGCATTGTATCTTGCACAGGCCCTAGAATACTGTACCAATAAGGGGCGTACTCTGTACCATGATCTCAATGCGTATAGAGTTTTGTTTGATGAGGTACCTTTCTGGTCTTGTTCTCCCTCAAAATAAGGTTTTTGCTTTTCATTCTCGTATTTTATTCTCTCATTGCTCATTATTTGGTCAATAAATAATATGTCTGGGGATTCCTATTCTTAATCTTTAGCTAGTAAAAGTCAGAAATTAACACCATCCATAGAGCCCTGTGAAAACCATTATTATCAGCATACAAAAAGATCAACCAATGAGAATCTTAAAGGCTACATGCAGTTGATATTTAATCTTCCCAAAATGAGTTGTTACTAATTTACTATTATACTGAGTATAAAAGTTGGATACAACATCGTTAGACTTGTTCAGTTTTGTTGGGTAATGCTGATGTGGCGGGTCTGTTGAAAGCGCACGTTTAGAATTTATTACCTTCTGGAATAAAGTTTGATTTACTACCTTTTAAGTACCAAAACATGAAAACTTGTTATGATTTATGACGGATTATGTCTATCAGTCCATGGATCTGTTTGATGGGGTCCACATATTGTTTTCTTTTTTCTAAATAACTTTCCTCACTTCATATTTCATACCATGATTTCACTCTCTCCCCGTCCCATTCTTTTTCTGTCCATCTTTCATTTGTTCCTTCCTTAAAAAATTCATTACTCTAATCCAGATATCGAGTACTTATTCAATCATGATGAAGCTGATGACAACAACTCACATGACAATCTTCTACACTTCACCATTTTTTTTTTCATTCTTCCCTTTACAAGGTCTCAAGATTCTTAATGCCTTCTCGTTTTCACTGAGCAAGTATCTTTTTGGCCCACTCAAATCAATTAACTCATTCTTCACTTGGTATATTCACTTGGGGCTAGAGAAGGATACATTTCATCTCAATAGTAATATTACAACTACTATCCATTTTGTGCAGTATAAAGTCAATGGAAAATAGGGGTCAATTTTGAGAATTATTTCAAATTATAAAAATTCCCAATTTATAACCCTAATATTAGAAAAATGCACCTTCAAAGTTGTTCTCGTTAGAAGCTTAGATGAACTCCTAATTGGCCGTTCTTCCTATAAAAGTTATCCCCTAACTTAATTTGAGGGAAACAATTGGAAATTTGCTCGACAAAATGTAGCAAAACGTAACCGTAGGGTAAGCTACGTGGCAGTAGATGTTAGGTGTGGGAGTAACTATTAGCTATTAAAAATCTGTGTAAATAGAAAACTATAGTATGAGTGTTTGGTAAGATACCTATTACTTGTAAAAATTGTTTTCCCTAATATATTTAAGGGTGAGCATAATAGGGTACTTGTTAAAATTCCTGGAACCGGACAGGTTCCACAAAATGAGAACCGGAACCTGTTCAAACTGGAATCGGAACCTGCATCTTCTAGTTCCGATTCAAGGTACCATGTCTTTCAATATATTTCGTACTTTTTTGCAAAATAATTTCAAAATATTTTGGAGGTTCATAAATTTACAAACTCTTACAACTTGCAAATACAACAAAGCAAATATAGCTCTTTAGCAAATTTAATACATATATTAATAACTATTATTTTTATTTATTAAAAATTAGGCTTGAATTGATATATGATTTAGGCTTAAGTGATACTTTTACTAGATTACAAGATACCCTACAGGTTTCGGTTCCAAAAAATTGAGAACCTGAATCGGATCCTGTTGTACAGGTTCTCCATTTTACTACCCAAAACCGGAACCTCTTGTACAAGTTACAGTTCTAGTTCAGGGTTCCTGATTTTTTTCTCACTCCTAATACACACACACACACACACACACACACACACACTACCCCCTTTTTATTAAGGTCAAACCACTAAAAGCTACTCAATAATTAGTGCCGAACATGCTCTTTGAAGATTTGAAATTTTGAAGAACCCTACTATAAGGAATTGTTGAGGGAGAAAGGATAAGTACGTTGAGAAACAAAAAATTAAGCACTTGGGATTTTAAAGAACCCTACTATAGAGGATTTATGGACAGAGTCTGAAATATTATTTCATGTTTTGGCTTTTGAGGTATTAAAATTGGAATCCCCTCCCCCCCCCCCCCCCCCCCCCCCCAAAAGTTCATAAAATCTACAAGTGGATTTTCAAAAGTCAGTTAAAGCAAAGATATTCCTAATGGTACAAAATCTTCCCCCGGGGAATTGCCAACAATTAGTAAATTTTGGCCCAATTTAACTAATTAAACAGCGAATTGCAAACTTGTACTAAACACATACTAGCAAATTAGGTATCACTACACAAGATTAGCATTGGGTTATTGTTTTTATCATTTTGGTGCAACTTAATAAATTGGAGAACATGCTTTGTTGTATAAAATTGCTTACTTCATTAGGTTGTAAAATTAATTGTGAGCAGAGAAAGGAGGTTGCAGCTTAAATGCAATTTACTCTATTCTATCATTATCTCCAAAGAACTATTAAAGTGTATTTTAACACCGAAGGAGATCTACAATAATATGCATGGTTATGGTGATCTCTAAGATCTCTCATTCTGGTGTTAAAGGCTATTTTTTCTTGATCCCTTTTGTAGGAAGGTGATCCTAGACTTTCCTGCTTTGGCTTGATGAAAAATAGTAGAGATGGGAAAAGCTACAGTACAAATTTGGCCTTTACTCCACCTGAGTATTTGAGGACTGGTAAGTGGTCGTCATTTAAGGACAATAATCTCCATTATTATAACATTGGTAAATAATGGTGCATAATTGATGCCATTCTTTGGGTTAGTGTTGTAAACTTAGCGTTCTTGTAGCATTTGTGTGCAAAATGGGTCATGTTTTTCTAGGAATAGGGCCTTCAATACTTCAACAGAAAATGATGCTTCTGTCGTATCTTTAATATTAGCGTCTATTTTTTCCTTTTTTGAGGAATGCGTACAACCAGATTATCTCACATAGTGTTCATTTAAATCCCCCCCCCCCCCCCCCCCCCCCCCCCCCCCCCCCCCCCCCCCCCCCCCCCCCCCCCCGCGCGTAATAGAATCTTTTTTACGTGGTCTTTCTTCCCTTCTTATTAGGGCAAGAAATGTTATCAGATAATACTAAAATGCCAAATCTTTTTGTGGGAAATCACAATTTTAATGGTTCAGATAAAAAGCAATACATTTAATAAAATATAACCTCCAGTATTCCAGGTTTCTATTTAAGTATCTGCTTTGCACTTTATTGATTATCATGAATGATTAACTTGCTGTCTGTACTTGCGATGACTTTGCACTTGCTGCTTTTGATAGGTAGAGTGACTCCAGAGAGTGTGATATATAGTTTTGGAACCCTTTTGCTTGATCTGTTAAGTGGAAAGCATATCCCTCCAAGCCATGTAAGCCTCTTGTTTCACTGTTATTTTCTTTTTTTTTTTTAAATTTTCTTATTTCTGTATGGTCCAATTTAATTTAATTAAGATAAGGCAGAAAAGTGTGAAATTCTAATTCAAGTTGAACTCGATGCACCTTGGTTTTTTATGATATCTAGCTACAAATATCGATGTGTTAAGACTATGTTTCTTGCTGATAGTCATTCGAAAAGACTATGAGCATGCAGAAAGTGCTTATTTGTTTAAATATATACTTATATCTTTCTATATGATTCAGGTATTGATGGATGGTAATTGTTTAGATAGAAAGGAATATGAATTAGTCAATAAAGACACGTGCAAACTGGCCAGATTTCTATTTATATAAGAGCTTCCTGTATGAGAACTTGTTTTTATGAACCAACTGCTTAGATCAGCCGATCAGGAAATAATAATGTGGAACTGCAGTATTACCTTGAACTGATTCAACTATACATATAGGTTAATTCAACATAATTCTTCTCTTGTCAAACCACACATTTTTTTCCTTTCTCATCCACTAACGATTAGGTATAAGACCAAGAAAGCAAGAATACATATGCCTCTAAGGGGGGAGGTATGATCTTCCACTATCAAACTAGCCCCTTGCTAGCTCTATGTCCTCTTTACTGCCAACATATTCTTCTTTTTCTTTTCCTTTAGGAGAGGGGGGAGGCTTGAAATGTTGTTCATGAGGGGCATTTTCTACTTGTGTGTGACATTGAAATACATGTGTTGTGGCAATGTTTGATTCACAGGATGCTCTATTAATTTTTGGCTGTAATTTTTGTTTCAGAAATGTAACTTTTCTAGTGGTGTTCTGTACTAATATGGTAGCTTGTCTGAACATTGCTTGATATTTTTCAGGCTCTTGACCTGATTCGTGACAGAAACATTCAAACATTGATGGATTCTTGCTTGGAAGGCCAGTTCTCTAATGATGATGGGACTGAGTTAGTACGTTTAGCTTCGAGGTGTTTACAATATGAGCCACGTGAGCGGCCAAATCCAAAATCACTTGTTGCTGCCTTGATTCCTCTTCAGAAGGAAACAGAGGTTTGCAGTTACTCTCTCGTTATTATTGTGGATTTTATAATCCTTGATTTTTTCTGTAGCCGTTTCTTTATGCAGTGTTTTTTGGATTCTTGAGATTATTTTCAGCAAAGCTTCAAAAAAGCCTGTACTTGTTGGATTATATAAGCCATTTTAAACACAAGCAAAACTTCACATTTCATTTCACACATGTTTGATTGCTTCTTAAATGTACCCTGCATATGGTTCTTATATAATTAATATGTTGAGATCCTTTAGGCATTTAGCTACCAATAAAATTATCTCAATCAGTTGTAAACTTATATCTGAAGAGTACATAAGAGCCAAATTCTAAGTACCGATCCTTTGGGTAATTGGTACTTTGACTGATGAATTGCTAAGAGTATTGACTGAGTTATTTTGGTAATGTTTCTAAGGGGTTATGGTGTTAAGCTTTAGTGGCAATAAAATAGGAATAAATCCTGGGAACTGGAAGATTTTATTCTTGCTTCAAGGGGCTAATCAGACTTTTATTTTCCTATTTCCTCTCTCCCTTGCCTTGATATCTTTTCTTTTAAGCAACCAAATCTCCAAAAGAAGGATTTGGAACATGCAACTTTCTTCTTGTTTTTCACTGAATATTCACAATTCAAACTAGCACAGAAAATACTGTAACTGAATAATAGAGAAAATCAAAATTAGTGCTGCTAAGTACTATGAGTATGACGGATTATTACTATTAAGATTTTTTTTTTTTTTTTTTTTTTTTTTTTGTTTCTAGAGGTAGTGGCGACTTTTGGATCTGTAACGACTTCAAGTTCTCTCTTTTCCACTTCTCTCTCAAATCATCTATATGTCTATTCGCCAGTGATACCTAATCTGCAGTTTTCTTTAATACGCGAAAGGATACGTGATACACAGTTTTCTACCTAATTACTCCGTATATTATTAGCCCAATAGCGTTCCACCGTACCATGTGCACTCAGTCTAATATGCACGTTCCCAATATGCCATTCGTGGGGGAACAAGAGTTTTAGACTTATAGGTAACACTGCTATTCGCTAAGAAAACAAATGAATTATTATGGAAATATTTAATTACCCATGTAAATGACAAGTTTCTGTGACCTCAGGAGGAGACACTTTTTTTTTTTGTTTTTTTTTTTTTTTGTTTGCAATATGCCACTGAACCTCGCAAATTTGTTTGTAAATCTTTAGCTTTCACTCTAATGTTTCAAGTTTTGTGTTGATTGAGGACTGTGCGGAGTGTGAGATTTACTAGTGGAGATTTGGAGATTTTTTTTAAAATTCTCAGTGCTAGTGGCCCACTGGCACAAGGCATTTCTGACATGCCTGTCTAGAACCTGAGTGGATTCTCGAGTTTGTTTGTAAAGATGGTCTAGTCTCATAAAGTTCAGCACTAGCTTTTAATATGGAGTATTTTTATTCCTTTATTCCAAAAAGGTTGTCAAAGTCTGTCATATAAACAACTTTAAACGAGTAATTTATGCGGTGTTTATTCAATTTAAAGGTATGAAGAAGACTACTGAATTGCTTAAGTAATAACAGTTGTGTTTATGATACCACACTTGTTGATAGAGCTGGTCTCATTTCGATATCAATGTTTGATATAGATGATTCAAATACCTTGCTTTTGTGCTTGAAATTATTTGTCTACATTGAACCCTTTTTTAGATGTGGAGTTTAATTATATGGGATATATGAATGATCTGTTGTTCCTCTGCAGGTTCCATCGCATGAGTTAATGGACATACCTCATGGTGCAGCAGATATATCTCTCTCTCCTCTTGGAGAAGCTTGCTCCAGAAAAGATTTGACTGCCATACATGAAATATTAGAAAGTATTGGGTATAAAGATGATGAGGGAGCTGCTACTGAGGTTTGTATCTAAATCTTTGTATTAACATGTCATGCATTATTGGGCTATTTAATTTGAAGTCTAAATTTATCCAGCCAGAAATATGGTTAAGTTACTTTAAATTCATGCGTGAATGATAGTTGTGCGATTAATGCAAGCTTTGATTAGATGCAGTGTAATTAATTATGATCCCTTGTTACTTTCAATGCCAGTGTGACTGACCTTTTTTGGATGGAATATTTGTTTGTAGTGTATGATGTATTGTAATTTCGATGAAGCATTGACAGAAGTAATACAATGATAGCATATGACCTCTCGAAATTGAGCACTTGACACAAGCCACATCCTTTTATTAATTTTTATTCAATATTTCTAAAAAAATGTGTTTGGATAAAAAAATAAATCTAAAGGGAACGAGAGAAGAGCGAAGAAGTGAGAACCGAGGGAAAACATTATTCTCTTATTTGGACAGCGTAAAAGAGGGTGAAAGAAGGTTTTCCAAACCTTTCCAACTTTTGAGGGATTTAGTTTATGAATTAGGGAAAGAAATTGGATCTTCATGTTTGCTTTTCTGACCTTCCCTTTCTCTCCTTCCCTTCACGGAAAATCTCCTTGTCCAGTCACATTGTAAAATTTGTACAGAGCCTTTTTTTCTCTCTTTCTATATTTAAATTGACTAGGATAACCATAAAGGCTGATCATAACCAGAAGGCCGAGAAAAGGTGTTAGTGGCTCTTTCCTTGAAGCATAACAATGTATGTTTTCGGTGGTCACTTGATGTATTCCCTGCCAATTCACCATGTTATTGCTCTTGATCGACAATTTTGCATAACAATTAATAGTCTGGCTAAGTGAAACTCATCATGTAATTGCACATGGCAGCTTTCTTTTCAGATGTGGACCAGTCAAATGCAGGATACACTGACCTCTAAGAAAAAGGGTGATGCTGCCTTTAGGCAAAAGGACTTCAAGACAGCAATAGAATGCTACAGCCAAGTATGTTCTTGTATAGATAAATGTTACTTTTGTTATTTTTTCTGCCTGCATTTTTTGTGTTCTTTCTTTTTATTTGGGTGGGCGGATGTCCTGTTGGGGTTTGCTACTTGCTAGTCTCTTTTTATTAACAGTTTTGTAGATTATGGAAAAAGAATAATTTCTAGATTTCTAGTAATCTGGTTCCTTTAATTTCTATTTGTCATTCTTTGTAGGTCAGAATTTAATGTACTTGTCTCTCACGGGCCTTAAATGTTTGCATAGCTTTGTTTTCTACTAATCTGGCCAATTAACCCACAATCTCCAGCAGCTTGTACTTTCTAGCATGTTTCTTGTCCTACTGGTCTTACCAAATACTATAAATTTTCAGAGGGGAGGAGGGCAGGGTTAATTACACATATACATTCCATTTATGCGATTTAGGGACAAGTGACAATTTAAATAAGATAGCTGGACATATAAGGGAGGAAGGGGTGATAATAGTTTATCAGTTACGTGCTTGAAAAAAATACTTCAGCAATGTCAAATGGAATTTTTGTTTGAAGTTTGATAGTACTTGTTCTGGTTCAAATGATAAGCCACATTTGAAGAGTGTTGTTGAACCTTGTCTTTTACAATTATAGCTTTCTTTGTCCCTTGCTAGATATCTCATTTAATTTTAGCACATATATTAAAAATAATTATCAAAGGTGGATAAAAAGTGGGTGTGAGCATTGTAAAGTAGAGATAAAATGTTGTTGGAGACACACCCAAAAAAAAAAAAAAAAAAGAGGATTGTCAAATGTGATTAATGTTGATGTGATTAGAGATTTAAACAAAATTAAGAGAAAATGTTATTGGAGCAAAAAAGGATTTATTTGATATATTATTAAAGAAGTTTACTTAAACTGTACATGCAAAGATTGCAAACTGGAGAGTTCACTTTGAGACATCTCACCAAAAATGGAGAAAAGTATCAAGGGATATAGTCTTGTCTATTAGTATATGATTTTGAACCATAAAATGATACGGAGTAGTCCTAAGGAAGAGTTTACACATTATTCATTACATATTTTGCTTAATTGATAGTCTAAACTAGCATAGTTTGATAACCTAAATCAAATTATTGGCAGTAGTCTTTTTCATATTAAAAGTTCTGGTTGAGAAATCTAGGTGAAATTATGCTGACAAATTTCATGCAATTCCCTTTGTTCCAGTTCATTGATGTTGGAACCATGCTGTCACCAACAGCTTTTGCCCGTCGTAGTCTGTGTTATCTCATGAGTGACATGCCACAAGAAGCACTTGATGATGCATCTCAAGCACAAGTTATATCTCCGGTGTGGCATATTGCTTCTTATCTACAGGCTGCTGCATTATTTGCTCTTGGAAAAGAGAATGAAGCGCAGCTTGCTCTGAAAGACGGATCATCCCTTGAAAACAAAAGGAGTGGTGGCTGATAGTAGCTTTTTTGGGTAACCGTTCTTCATTTTTCATATTGCTGCTATAGCATTGATGTACATGGAGTTATTCAAGGATCTTCAAAGCAGTCTTTTATTTTTTATTTTTTTTATAATCATCATTCTTTGATAGAACTACAGGTTAATTTGGTTGAACAGTTTGCTTTAGTGAGTTGATGTGGTGTAACTTTCAATTCTATAGAGGGATTCGTTTTTACATAGAAATCAGATGATGAAGAATGTTTTGTACAGTTGAATTTTGCTGCTGCTTTGCTGAAGATGATTGATAAATCCTATGTTTTTAGACTTGTTTGTGTTAATTTATACCATTTTTGACATGCCATCTGATCTTATAATCCTGGTTTAGACTGGACAAAGTACTGCTCTTGTTAATGCGTAGTTTTTGATTGTTTTTTGAATGTTTAATGTATTTGTTATCAACGTAACTAAAATTTAATGATGAATTTGATTATGCTTTATGTTGCTAGATAAATTTGTAGTTAGGATTTCATCACATCTTATCATCTTAGCATTATTAGTGTCTGTCATGAAAAAATTGGTGCAGCGAAATGATTTAGAATTGTTTGGTGCTGTTTTTGGGCTCTGTTCTAGCTCATTAGATATTTGGATGTATAGGATTTTAGAGATTGAATTAGTATTACTTTTTTTTTTTTTTTTTTTTTTTTTTTTTTTGGGAAATAGGCCTAATCAACGAATTATTCGATTATTTATGGGATACCATTGAGGTTTGGTACCTCTACTTGAAATTCAATTTTTGATTTTGTTTTGTTTTGTTTTTTTTCAATGTTATTCACTTCAATTTCCCTTTCAGAAAGAAGGAGATATTCAAGGAAAATGTTTTAGTAGTAAATCAAATGTCATCTTTTAAACGGAAAATTTTCTGTCAAATTATTACTATTTTGGATTTAAACATAATTGTATATTATAAAAATTAAATTTAGTTCCATCCAAATAAAAGAGAGTAAAACGAATAAGTTCCTTGTACAAAAAAAGGATTCCCCCTCTTGTCACCTTTTAAAATTGAAAGAGATTTAATTCTATTCATTTCTCCTTCTTAATCTTAATTTAAAAAGGAATCCTCTCAAATTAATTTCCGACTAATTTTCAAGCATCCTCCTCTTCATATTCTTCCTCATAGTCCACTCCAGCTTCCTGATACTGCTGGTATTCAGACACCAAATCATTCATATTACTCTCAGCCTCTGTGAACTCCATCTCATCCATGCCTTCGCCGGTGTACCAATGCAAGAAAGCCTTCCTCCTAAACATGACTGTAAACTGCTCTGACACCCTTCGAAACATCTCTTGAATGGAAGTTGAGTTCCCTATGAAAGTCGAAGACATAGCAAGCCCTGTTGGCGGGATGTCACAGACGCTGGACTTCACGTTGTTGGGGATCCACTCTACAAAGTAGGATGAATTCTTACTCTGAACATTGGTCATTTGCTGGTCAACTTCTTTTGTGCTCATCTTCCCTCGGAACATTGCTGATGCAGTGAGGTATCGCCCATGACGTGGGTCTGCTGCACACATCATGTTCTTGGAATCCCACATTTGTTGGGTGAGCTCGGGGATGGACAGGGTTGTGTATTGCCGGGAGTTGATGGAGGTCAAGGGTGCAAACCCTACCATGAAGAAGTGGAGGCGAGGGAAGGGTATCAGGTTCACTGCAAGCTTTCTAAGGTCGGAGTTCAGCTGACCAGGAAATCGTAAGCAGCATGTTATGCCACTCATTGTTGCTGAGATCAGGTGATTCAGGTCGCCAACTGTGTGTTTGCAAAACTTATGTCAAAATTGGATCATTTAAACATCTATTCAAACAACTTGTTTGCATAAGTACTGTAGGGTGGAAACGTAAAGACAAAAGCAGCAGAAAGTCAAGCAAAAAGAAATAATGCAAGTGTTATAGCAACATACATCGAGGGTTGGAGAGTTTGAGAGTGCGGAAGCAAATGTCATAGAGGGCTTCATTGTCAAGTACCATGCACTCATCAGCATTCTCTACCAGTTGGTGTACAGAGAGCGTGGCGTTGTAAGGCTCCACCACCGTGTCTGACACCTTTGGAGATGGAAACACCGAGAAGGTCATCAGCATACGATCAGGATACTCCTCTTTAATCTTCGATATTAGCAGCGTTCCCATCCCTGATCCTGTTCCTCCTCCCAGAGAATGACATAATTGGAATCCTAGCAATCGATTCAAGTAATCACATGTCAGGAGATTATTCAACATAAAAGTCCATCATATGACAAAATTATATGTAGTGATGAATTTAGAAGTATTTGTAAGTCTCATGTGTCTAGGACTCTAGGTGCTTGCTATAAACTTACAGGTAGCAAACGGCTTATAGCTAGGTGATGAGTCATTTAGTTCGAATTTGGTTTGGTTATTATATGTTCGGGATGGGACATATTCAAGTATCATAATTTTTTGGGTCACATTAGACTGATACTTACCCGGGCTAATATCATGTAACATAGCTTAGGTAAAATTTGAATTTGGTCAAGTATTAAAAGATGACAAAATAATGATAAATTCAACGATCATAGTTTTCGTCATGAAGGATATAGATAATTAATTAATATTTCATCGTACCAAAAGATGCATAATCTACATAAATAAACTTTCTAAGATCTTGTCATATTCTTAGGAATATATTGAATTATTGATCAATCACCATATTAATAATAATAATAATAATGTCACGAGCTTAATGTTTAAGTGATCATATACATCAAAGTGTAAATATGAAATGTAAAAAAAACTGATATACATTTGAAGTGTACCTTGTAAAGAATCAGAATTCTCGGTTTCCTTACGAACAACATCAAGGACAGTATCGATCAGTTCAGCACCTTCGGTGTAATGACCCTTAGCCCAGTTATTCCCAGCACCATTTTGCGCGAAAACAAAATTATCAGGCCTAAAAATATGTCCATAAGGACTAGATTTAAGGGAGTCCATGGTACCTGGCTCGAGGTCTATCATGATCGCCCTAGGAACATATCGGCCACCTCTCACCTCATTAAAATAAACATCGGATCGTTCAAGTTGGAGTGGAGAATCACCAATGTATAGCCCGGTGGTATCAATACCGTGCTCATTGCAAACTACCTCCCAAAACTGTGCGCCGATTTGGTTACCACATTGCCCGGCTTGGATGTGGAGAATTTCTCTCATAATGTTAATATTATGATGTTTTAGAATAAGGAGAGGGTGTTACAATGAATAATAATGTGGGCAAAAAATAAAGTTTTAGGAGGTGGGGTTGAATTAGTTTGATGGAAATGGAAGTGCTTGAAAGTTGGGAGTTTTGTAGGGTGGAAAAACAATGACAAAGATATCAATTTCATGTGGGCATGTTAGAAGGCCATGTCAAAGGATGCGAGAGATTTTGGAGTAATACAACTCATTGCTCTCCGAATTTTTAGCCTATGCTCTATTTTTATCTATTATTTTTTGTAACATGTAACATGCAAATAAATAGTTGTACTATAATTAATATATTTCATATCAATGCTTAAATAAAGTTTTGTTATGTTTCCTTAAGTTGAGAGATACGATACTTTACTAATTACGATGTTTACGCCTTATTGTTTCCATAATGTTATTTGAATTAACTGCTATATGAACCGAGATTGGAATTAACACTTCTTGGTCGGTCAAGAGCCATTTATATCATTATTTTAGAGATGTGGTGTCACCCATTTCTAGCTTTAATAGTTGCATTTTGTAAAATACTAACATGTGGACCTCCATGTTGACAATGACATGACGCCATATCATACATAAACTAGTGTATGTCTCGGGCGATGGCCCGGGTTGCTAGTTTGTGTACTTCTTTAATTTTATAATTATGTTCAACTGTTTGTATATAGTTGGTATGTGGTTCGGGTGTTGCATCAGGTGTCATTTTTTTCTTACCTCATATGTATTTATATTCTAATCTTGTGAAAAATAAATGAATTATATTACCTCTAATTTACTTAATAAATGAAAAGAATATATAATATAATGTGAAATTTGAAACATTAATAAGATTTGATTGAGATTGTAAATGTATTATCTTTATGTTTAAGAGGTTATGGGTTCGAATCTAGCTCAAAGCATATTTTATTTTCTTAAATGAGAAGTGGCAAGCTTATATGGCGCATATACTTTGGATAGTGACATGTCATTATGACATGACGCATATTCTTTGAAGAGTGCCACCTGGCACCGTTCCTTTAAAAGGAACGCCTTTTAATGTATAGTATAGATTGCCAATAATTTTATCATAATTTTCACCACTACAAATTGAATGAAAAGAAATGGAATTCAACTCTTTTAATCCATGACCTATGAAATTAACTTGGAGTGCTTTAACCATTAAAGCCAATTAATGTAAATCAATATCATTTACTACACTATAATTTACAAAGTAGGAACGTGGTAATGTTACAATCTTGACATTGATATCAATCGAAATTTGACACATCCAACGGATTCCAACCTCTTATTACATCCTCTTCCTTTCAATTACTACTTGAGACTTTATGGTACTTTTGAACCTCCACAATTATAAGAATTTCACTCAGCTCATTATTCTCCCGTTGCCTCTCACCAAACACCAAAATTATTAAAATTGTAAATTAGTAATTAGTTACCACTTATTGAATAGTTAATTACCTACTTAATTGATTTTTATTTATAATTGTTTGCTTGAAAATAATATGAATAAGCATATAAATATTTGATTATATATTATTTCAATATTTTTTTTAAAAAAATTTTACAACTTTACAATCCGATTCTATGAGCTCTTCAAATTTCAAAGTAAAATCGCAATTTTAGCGACATTGGTTTTTACTTGTACAATTGTAAACTTGAATCTATCTTAGGTACGGTGTTGACATATGGGCAATATAGTGCTTTTGGGTATTTTATTTTATGGTTTCAAAATTAAGCCTTTTCTCAAAAAAAAAAAAAAAAAAAAAAAAAATTGTCATGAAATAATGCTCCATATTCTTTTTGTATATTCAACCATTGTTCCGTCCGGCTCATGATACTCATAACAATTTATTTTGATTTTTTTTCGAAAGAATACTCTTAACAATTTTGCTCATATAATCCACGTTGATAAATTATTTACAAATTTATGGTAACAAATGTCAAAAAGGAGGATGTTAAGTGTTTTATTTATTTATTTATTTATTTTTGAAAGAAGGATGTTAGGTTCGTTGTATTGTATAATAAGTTAATCACAAAACATATACTCCCTCCATTTTTTTTTTATTTGCATTACTTGGGAATGTATAAAGTTTTAGGAGAGTAATATAATATTGTGAGTGAGTGAATAAATTATTGCAGTAAAAATAAGATGGGACCATAAAAGAGAAAGTATTTAAGAGAGGATATATATTTTTAAGTGGGACCATGGAAGAGAGAGAAATAATAAAATAATTAGAGTGAGGTTTAAAGTAAGAGAGAAAAATGATAAATATAATATAAAGTTATCAAATATGAAAGTGATGCATTTAAAAATAACATTCATAAAAGAAAAGTGATGCAAATAAAAAAAAAACAGAGTGAGTATTAATAACTATATTATTACAACAAAAAGATTGAACCAATCGTGCATTGCAGTATTGCACTGTTTCAACCATTAGTCTAGTAACAATCGAACAATATTATATTAACCTTGAAATATAGCACGATTGCAAGAATAGCAACACTTTAGTCTTTTACACTGCCATTGGCCTCTAAGGCATTTGAAAATAGAACAAGGCTGGCAGCACTTTATCTAAACATGATACCTTCTAATTAATTCTTGTAAAATCGACGTGCACACACGCTAAAAAAGAAAAGTTATAGCTTCATTGTAGTTCATACGAGGAATGGAAAGCAAGTTTTCATCCAAAATAGTTGAATGAGATATCAATGGAGGAAGCAAATTTATATGAAAGTGCAAAATACAGCTAACGTGTAACATTCGTCAGAAGACTTGCATTAGAAAGTTAGAACTTAATGAAGCATGACTGCATAAGGAACAAAGCTTGACAAAACCTTGTCATGGTAAATCTGTAAATCATCGCGCTAAATTGTTTGCAACAGAGCTGGCTCCATTAAGCAACTTAGATCAGACCTACAATACTCCTAACAACTTATTGCACGGTGAACAAAAATTGAGATCTATATACTCAAATTTCTCATATGAGCGAAGAATTAGAGATAAACTTTAATAGTTTAATTTGCTGGAGTGTCTAATTTAGCTTTATTCATCAAAAAGTGACTCAAGAATGTCCATAATATCCTTTATCGTTAAAGAATGTCAGTTCTTGTCCAAACATAGCAAATCAAAGCTTACAATATCAGGTATATTACTGACTTGATTCAATCATTAGACTCAATAGCAATTGATGGACCGCTAAAACATGGTACCTCGGAAAACAATATACTTCTTATAGAGGACAGCTAGAAAGACAAAAATGATTATGGAATGCAGTAGTAATTATTTCCTAGAAAAACATATTCTTATTCTCTTAACTTATAAATCTTTCCAAATATACAAGGGAAGACACGAGGATTACTAAAAGAAACTTGGCTCAACTATGATAATAACATATAGAGCTTTATAAATCAACTTCAGTTCCAAGCAATGGAAAGAGGTTTAACATTCACATACATAGATAATTTAGATGAACTTTCACATTCAATTCCTGAAAGCTATAATCAAAATCAAGTCTCAACATTTTCAACCCATCATACATAGATAATGTTCAAGAGCCCCAGTACATTAAAAGAAAAGTAGCTCATGTTTCCCAGTAGGAGGCAGCCCCTCTATGCATATTCATCCCCATCATTTCAAACATAAGTCCCAGAAAGTTCAATTTCAGCGACCCTATGCTATTATGATGATCCCTATGCTATGTTAAAAAGTAAATATTGATGGTAAAGGCAGTACCTTATTTCTCAGCATCTCCCGTTCTTCGTTCGTCCAATCATATGTCATGTCTAAGACACTTTGTAAGGAATCCTCATCATATAATATACCCACCTGACATTGATAGATGTTAAAATTCATTACAGCTGCTATCTCAAACAATAAATTATATGACCAAGATAATTGCTTTGTCACCATGAAACACTGTATGAAAGAATACCTCCAGATAGAACCAACACCTATCATACACATTTAATTAGAAGCCTATACCAAAGCACACATCACATACGTATAGATATCAAGCAAAACATGCAAATCAGTAACTAAAGCCAATTCAAATTTTGAAACACTATACTATTGTTGCAGAATTTTACATACATGAATGAAGAACGAAATATGTGATGTTATTTAGAGAAGGGCAGAACTTAATTGAACTAGTGGGAGTGATCATGGACTTCATGGTAGGTCTAGCTTGGTTTGAGCTTTGTTAGAAACTTCCAGCACTTAAGGATCTATGTTTGCATCCTCCACACTCATCCTCGAGCCATGTGTTTATACCCTTTCTTTCTTCTTGTTATTGCTTTTAGATGGGGAAATTTCTTCTCACCATTGTTCTTTTGCGTTGAATTCTCTAACCACTGTAAAATAATTTTTGTAGAGGTCTCACAGGTCTTTAAGAAACAGCTCCTCAGCTAGTAACGGCTAGTTAAAAGAGGAATGGGATAAATCTAGATTCAATGCTGTGCCGCTGGTGATATCCACATCAGTTTTCTAACATTGTACTACCAAAGAAAATTTCTCTAACTTAAATATATCTGAAGAATGAATGTAGGCATGTATATACTTCAGAAATATTTTTTGCTTAAGGAAAATTGCTATAAAAAGATACTTAGGTTAGTGAGTGAAGGTCAGATGATAGCACTAATCAATGATCACACACCTGCTCAGACCACCAGCCCATTACTATTATTTTCTATCTTAGTCTGTTTCTGTCAGACAACAATCTCTTGTCTCAGAGTCACAATCCTCCCAGAAGTTGGTGTTTTATTGCCAGCATTAATAGTCAATAGTGCCACCAAAGCTTAGCAGACAACTGTCTCTTCCTCTCTCGCAACCTCAGTCATATATGACCCTTTATTATAATCTCATCCACCATCAAACTACCAAGTCCCAACAGTTTTTGCTTTCCAATTCCCGATCAGCTTTCACAGGCATCACTAAATGCCAGCAAAATTATATCCCACGTATAAAGAAGCACATTAGAAAAGCCCCATCCCAGGTCATTTGTCCCCCCAACCCGCCAAAAAAATAACAATACTGATTTATCTATCTTTTGGTAGGTCAAAAGGAAAGATATAAATCTTTAGTTTTATAACAAATTAAAATAAATATTTCAAAACAATAATAAACAAGTCTCATATATAGACATTTTTTATCTCT